ATATAATGTTATCTCAATCTATCATTCTCATCTTGCATACATCTTGAAATAATAATCTATGTATGTACTTATGGTGATCATCTATTTTAAAACCAAGGTATCGTCAGCATAAGTTAATTGTGAATCTTTTGCCCCATGGCAGCCTATATGTCTAAAAAGTAGGGCATCACATGTCTTATAACCTAGGGATTCATAAACTCTAGGGATTTATATATATATAAAAAAAAAAAAAAGCATAAAAGAAAAAAAAAACTTAGGAGGACGGTATAATGATATTTTTTTTAGAATTAGAATTGTTTTTAGGGAAAAGTTTTTCTACCACAGAGGTGAAATGAGGTCCATAAGACTCATGGTCAACCTGTTTTTTAAAATAAATTATTTTCGCTCATATATAAAGGACAGTTTCTCCACTGCAGAGGAAGTTACTCTTATAGTTAGCTAGCCACATCCGATTGAAATCTTTGAGTCCAGCCACACACAAAGGCTCCGTCTTCCATCAGAATTTTAATAACGGCAAAGCCCCACAAATCACTTTGTACGTTTTATAGGTCCAGTAGCAAACATAAATACATTAAAAAAAAAAGAAATAAATATACCAGCCTGATTTTAGCTATATTTTTTTCTTAGTCGAATTCTCTGAAAATTTTCCAAGATTTTGGGATCATCTTAACCAGACTGAGGCAAGATGCTCCTAATAATAATCATTAATGTGAAAATTAAAAAATACAAAGCATTTAAATCAATCGTTTTAAATACTAAGGCCTCATTCCACTGATGCTAAATGATAAAACTATAACACAGAAATAATCCTCTTATTGCATAAAACATGCATAAAATAATTAAATAATGCTCTTATTGCATGACGTATACCAGTTATTAGAATTTGTTAAATAGCCCTAATAATGCTTAACAAACCGACTAGCATTGAGGGCGGAGTCCCCCAGTCTGCGGCTTTGAATCAAGCCTTGGGGGCCGCCACAGGGTTAATCCTGTGAGCAGCCAGTACAAAGCTAATGAGGAGCAGCCCGAGGTTCTGCTGGGAGTGAAAGGCTCAGATCTGAACCAGGCTTCACATTCACTTTCCCCGACTGTCAGCTGAGCTCAAAGAAGTTTAAGATAAATAATCAAGGGAACTTTGCAGCCATCTGACAGAATTACAGCAGAGTTACTAGACGTGTTTCAGAAATGGTGAGCACTATAACATTACTGTAGGAAAGAACTGATTAGGACTAATGACTATCGGTGTGGGAGGGTTGCGACACTAAGATGGGAAATTACTTGAGTCATTAAAGGAGAACAGAGAGAAAGAGGAAATAGGACAATCTATGAAACTGACATCTTTGCAGGCTTTGCAATGACAGAAACCAGACCCCTTCAGTAGCACAGTGATCTGCCAGTATCTCCGGTCTTAGCAGAGGCTTCGATCAAAAAGATGACCTCCATAAAGCCCCGCATTCAGTTCTTCAAGGATACATATGGCCTTAATGCCATGCAAAGTCCAGACATCATGAGAAGAAACCTGGTGTTCATGGGCCATGCCAGGTCTGGTCTGGTGGATGTCATAAATTTACCACCCCCTCCTTCCTGTTGGTGCTGAGAAACATTCCTTCTTCCTGCACACAGCGACTTATCCAGATCCATCTGTCTATCAGAAGCAGCTGCTGCATGTGTGTAGTGCATCAGACATCTGGTTGGGGACTAATCAGCACCAAGTCAACAAGCTCTCTGCAGCGTGTCATCAAAACAAGATTTCTGTTTCACAACAAATGTTGATTAAAAAGAAAATATAAACATGTTAGTATGGGATTCATTACATTATTATGGATATTAAACTGCTCTCCTCTTCATTGGCAAGTAATATCAGATAAAGATTCAAGAAGATAAGGAATTTTAGGAACTCTTTATTTGTGTTCTTGAAAAATACGCGGTGGAATTTCTGAAATAATTGTAGATCTGCTTAAATTCTGATAAAGATTTTAAAAGGGCCTGGAAAAAACAACAAAAAATGAAAACTTGTATTGTTTTATTTTTTTAAAGTCAAGCCTTTCATTTGTTTGTTGGTGGGGAATGGTGGTGATTGTAGCACAATTATAATTGGTGCACAAACTCTGTTTCGACAACAAGACAGCTCCACTTATTGTGAAGTGCTGCCTCCATTGTTAATAAGGGTTTATCAAAAGTTAGATTTGTGCAAACAAATTTGGAACTTTTAGTTTGTTAGAGCTAGTTATTAGTTATTATTTGTTGTTTTGCTAATTTATTATAGTGATTTGCGAACCTACTTTTTCAGCTAAGGTGTGTTTGTCTTCTTTAACATAAAGAGGGCAAAGAAGTAAAAAGGCATGGACTGAGGAATATATATATTTCTGTTGAGCTTGTTGCTCCCAAAAAATAGTTCTAGGTGTTTTTTTTTTCTTTTTATTTGAGCAATAATTTAAAAAATGCTATATTGGAGTTTTATGGCCTCGGCATGATAAAGTTCAGAAGTTTGTACAGGCATCAATGTGGGCTTTATTGTCAGTTTTTCTGAGGCTTTTATATTTTTAATATCAATATTGGATTAAGATTATTGCGACCAAATTATATTCATATGTAACATTTGATCATATCCTCAGGCTCTAATTCAAAGAAATTTTACACATCTTTACCAGGTAGCCGCTGTGTAAGTTGTAATAAATTAATTGCCCTAAACTTTGATTAATACCTTTCCTCTTTCATTTCTTCCATACAGATCCAAACCTTCCTGTATACACCCCTACCTCGGACGATCCGCTTGCATCGTCCTACCCTGACTACCCGTTCCTAGATGCCTCCACCAGCCCATTGCCGAGTGAAGAAACAACCACGTCTAGCGGCCGTGGTCCTCACTTTCTTGGCCGCAACCTTAATGAAAACCTCATCCCTATTTACTGTTCAATCCTGGCTGCTGTGGTGGCCGCTGGTGGCTTGGTGGCCTACATTGTGTTTAAGAGGTGAGTCCAAATTTTTTGTTTGCTAAATAACAGCAACAAGATGGTACCTTAGACAATACATCTGTGCTATGAAGGCTGTACAGTTATGAAGATCAGTGTCCCATTTTAGCTTGGATCTTATGATGGGAAATATTTAGTAAAAATATCACAATTAAAAAAAATAGATTCAGTCCAGATTTGGCTTTGATCAGTTTCTTCAAACTAGTTCAAATAAGGTTTTACTTAAAGAAACACGAAACCAAACCTAATGCATTGCAGAGAACACACCGAGGACACATTGCTGCAAAAATAAATCCATCCTACAGACGGATACAAATTCAGACTGTGGCACATTTGAAGCAAGTAGACAAGCTGATTAGATGCATTGATTGTTTGAAATGTGCCAGCCAAGGGAAATGTGAGTCCTAGAAACATCTGCTCTGTGTGTTCTCTTTGTCATGCACATCAAAATAAAAATACAGAGTTTGACAACAGACAAGTGCGCTGTTTTATTCCAAATTACCTACATTTTTATTGTCGACTTTTTTTTTAAAGTAACAGTAGGAAGCAGGATTATAAAGTTCTGCATGGTAACACAAAAGAAAAAACAAAATCATCTTTACTTTTTCAGCAATAATTAGTTTTTTGCTTATTGCCACAATCTCAATGACAAAAAAAACATTTAAATACTTTTACATAAAGGACAGCCTTGTTATCAGTGCTTGAAATGGTCTTTCCTCAGGTGTTCAATCTCTTTGTTAGTGGCAGAGTAAAGGGCAGATTATACTTCTGCAACCGCACACATCAAATGTCGCTTGCATCTGGTCGCAAACCAGTTTCTGCTGGTATACTCCTGCAACGTCGGTCTGGAATTTCTAAGGAAGCACAGCAGTTTCCGGCCAAAGCGCTAGGGGGAGCTTATTCGAGAACTTGCGAGAACTTCGGTGGATGGTCATAAAAACTTCTTCGGCGGCACTGGCGGGAGTGTTTATTTTCCAAACCAACATGTCTGAGGCATCCTACAAGTGGTTGTAGTTCTGAACCTCCTGGATCAACCTTTCGTCGTGGTTATGCATTGTTGTTATTACTCCTCGGTTTTTAAAAATGGTGTGCCCCAGCACCAAATCGAGAAGATTGAACACACAGACAGTCTGAAAGGCATACTAAGGACCAATCACAGTGGCTTTTTGTCTGCGCACTTCCGCTTGAGGTCTGCGCAGTTTTGTGACCGTCCCACGAGTAGTCAGGATTTTTTTGAAGTGCACGACGACGGTTGGAGAGCCTCTGGGCGGGGGGCGTGGTCACGCACAGAGACAAATTTGATGGTTGCAGAGGCTATGCTTCAGAAGTACAAATTGGCCTTAAGAGTTTTATCTGCTGAGGGACAGCTCGAAGCAGAGCCACTGATATTCTATATCGATAACAGTCAGTTCGGCTGATTAAAGCATCATATAAGTAGGCCTCTTGGCACCTTTCATTGGAGACTCTCCAGGTACCTTTTAATAATAGGTAGAAGTGCCTTAAAAACTTTGTCTGGATATAAGACACATAAAAAAAAACTAAATGGAGAAACTTTACATCCCCTCTGGCCTTGAAAAAACCTTGAACTACTGCTAGTTGAGCTGAACAGGGTCTCTGGGGAAAGTGATATCTGATTCTGTCGGCTAGAATTGCTGTCTCTGTTGTTGAATAACAAATACACATTAAAAAATTGGGCACTGTTACATAAGTAATGGGAAATATGTTTATTTGGTTGTGGAGCTGTGGCAATCACATTGAGATATTACTCCTTGAAAGGCAATGTTTCTCACCCAAACGATGTGTCTGTGCTGTTTGTGTATGCGAGTTAGGCTCTATGTTATAACCCATTTATTTCCAAGCAAACATAAATAATGGTTGAAAATTCCCAGAGTTCAAAGATATTTTAGTTCAACACAGTTATTCAAGGAGTACATATAAATCTCATTCTCAGATAATGTGATGTTTTATAAAAAAGAGGCAAAAAAATCTGGAAATCTTTTCAACAATGAATAGCTTGCCAACTACTTCTTTGCCTATAGAAGTCACTACGGTATATCAGAGTTTTATGCAAAAGGTTCAATTTTACTGTGTTAAATTACACAAACAATACAAGTGTTTTCTATAGTGAGAATTTTGTTTGTAAAGTCTAGGAAAAAAACATGACTTAACTCGGGAAATTAAAAGGATCTTAATCAAATCTTATAATGAACTAAGTGCTACCTCATATTCGTTTTCTTCACAGGTGGAATAGCTGCAAGCAAAACAAGCAAGCAGCTAATAACCGTGCCGCTACAAACACCCAGATGGTAACACCGGAGGGAGAGAAGCTGCACAGCGACAGCGGCATCTCAGTGGACACTCAGAGTCTGCAGGAGCAGCAACACACACAGGCTGAAACCCAGCCTCAGCCGTCACGCTCACATACACAGGAACAAATAGGTAAGCTTTCATATTTTGCACCAAAACATTTCCATGAAGGAGACAGTATTTACAGGTACTTAGATGAAAGCCAAATAAAAGTATCCTAAAATTGAGTTTTTACGCTTAGCTTGGACTGATGCTCTATTAATTAGGTTGGAAAACCTGTTTGTCTTTGCTTGGACACTGAATGCTGATAGTTGTTTGGCTATGTTTCAAAAAATAAAAAGGCTGGAAGTTCAACCTCACTTTTTAATATCTGACATTTCCTCCTAGAAATCCAGGCTTACTACAGGATGAGTACATCTCCTGTTTACTTTGTGATATTAAAGAAAGCAAATAAAGTGTCATCAATCAAGTTAAGATATCCCATTAAGATGGGCTTTGGCTTTCTCCGCGTTGACTAAACCTTTTCCTCTGAGTAAAGATGTTTAAGGTCGAACAGAATATATCATCGAAGGGCAGAACTGATTCCAGCATGTAGCTTAAAAAGACGGATTGGTGAGATATATGCGATTGCAAAAGATATTTTTTAAAACCAAGAAAATGAGTGAGGACGTTCAGTTAAAGGAGTTAGTAGGGTGTCTCAGTAACCATCAACATTTGACATATTATGAAACAATCTCTGTTTAAGTCTTTAGATTTTAGAGATGATGAATAAGCACAAGATCAGAGTGCCAATGTCCGATCTTTATCCGTCTTTACGGGTTTATATTTGCCTCTTGGGATGTTAGAATGTATTTTAAGGTCTTATTTGCCATCAAGCCAGACATAATCGAAAAAGGTTTTTTGTAAGCTGAACTCACTAAATGAACTCTGGCACAGAACCAACATTATGCACTTTGCTGATCTATTATAAAGCAATTTACGATGCACTCAATTGACTTCTATTGGTGGAGTGCATTAAGAGGAATAAACACAGATGAAGTTTTCGGTACTGTAGTTTCTTAGCTTTCTGTCATTTAGGCATTAAAGATTATGCTACAAGGCTGAACACTCATATGTAAAAGCCCATCTCTCTGCAAACCACTTTCTGAGGATGTTTGGTGCCAAATAATAGCAGAGTGAAGCAATGAATAGTCATCTCTCCGCCGGTCTTGGCTTTTTGGCTTCTTTAAGAGTCACTTTTGTGCCTCGAGTTAATATTATATAATCTCTGAGAATGAGCATTTAACCTTAATATGACTTTCTTTCTTTTTTGCATTTACTTTCAAATATCTTTCAGTTATATGCACTCATTTGGGGTTGTTTATGTAACATGTCTTCATTTAAACTCACTGCATTGAATTTTAAGTCACCCTGTTTGAATACCAAGGTTTTCTGATGAAATCATGGAGCCCAATTAGCTCATTCCTTTTTATTATAGTGGTTTACACTTTGTCAGTCCATTCTTTAGAAGACTGATGTCTTTTTTTGTTATTAGCCATAACAAAACTACATGAAAAAGGAACAGCGTTGTGCAACAAGTAAACAAGGAGCCAAGCAATTTAGCATTTACCCAGCAGAAGTGTGAAAAGAAAAAAGGAACAGTGTGAGATCAAGTGTGAAAAATCACAAAAGAATTTAACTGGTAGACAGGGAAAGATCTGAGTTGTATTTGGAATAAAATATAATGTTAGTTTTTTTTAAGTGGAATCTAAATCCTATGGATTTGGCAGGATGAGTAAGAACTGCCAGAGATAGCGACTAGCTATAACAATGTTTATATCTGGGGATCATATCTGGTGCAGTATTTCATTTTTTATTTTTTCAGGCTAAAAAAGAACCAAGGAAACACTATCAGAACTCACAGTTGGCATATTGTTTTGGTTATAAGATGAACATACAGTATGTGACATGGCCTCTTAAACAAATTGTTGAAGCTTAGTTTCCCAACTACTTTCAGTTTTGAAGGACTTTAAAAAGAAAATGCCATGTATTGGTGTATCAATCATGGCAGACTCTCCAGGACACAGATAAGTTCATTTTCAGCCCCTAATGGCTTATATCCTTGGAAAGTAGACAGTCATTCCATGTCAATGATTTATCTCATGTATTTTTCCTATCATGTGAGGTGATGAATTGTCTGTGTGTAACAGAGGTTGAAAGTAGTCATAGTTGCTTTACATAATTTGCTTTATGAACTGTTCTGGACACAGTTGATGATATACAGCATAAATATAATACCAAAGATTGTGACATTTTTTTTGTAACTCTTTTTTTATGAGATGAAAACACATTTGGCTCAACTGTACCAATTGTGTCCGGTACACTGTTCACCTAAATCTTTAAAAACAAACATGCTTCAACTGATTTCATCCATTTCTATTGCTGCAATACTAGAAATGTTTATAAAAACAATGAAGTCTCTTCTAATTTGTTTTAGAAAAAAAGCTGTAGGCAAGGCAAAAAAAAAAAAAAAAAAAAAGATTTTACATTATCTGTATTTCACCAAAAAAAGAACCGGACAAAATAACATTTCTGATAGTGTTTGCACAGGAAAAGGTTATTTTATATCTTACTGGTACCAAAAGGTTATATTTATGCCGGATGTTTGTGGAGCTATTCTTCATTTAATTATTTTGTGCATATTGAGGTGAAAATTGCTTATTAAACCTCTTGGGCTTAAAATGTTAAAGGGCAAAATCATCATATTTTACAGAGAGAATCATGCAAATCCTGAAAGTGTGTATTATAAATAAAACGCAGTCATGCTTGCCATTGTTTTTAAAACAAAAGCATCATTTTAAAATGATGTATTTGTTTGATTCAAGCCATCCAGAACTCCAATACAAACTTGTCACACTGAGACAATATGATAATAACAATTTAAGCAGTTTAAATAGACATCCAACCCATTAAACTGAGCCTCAGTAATAAGGGTTTCATGTTCGTGTTTTGTCTAAAAAGAAATGTCTGTCCTTTCTTTAAGTCAACATGAAAAAAGGGAAACAACAAAGGAATTTATATTAGAGGATAAATTTGGCACTGGTTAAAACAATGTCTGACTGGTTAACCCTGTCCTCTCGTTAACTCGCCGGCTCATTAGCTGGTGTTACGAGATGGGATCCAGGCCTGGCCTCTTTGACTTCCAAATCGGATGTAGCATTTGTGTTTAGCAGCTGATAATTGGTCTTTTTCACCACTTGTCTGTGTGAGAACAGTATAAAAAAGAAGGGAATGTTAATATAAAGATGGCTGTAGATTCCTCAGCAGCAAATATCGACTAAAACACTTGGGAGGGCGGCTCACGTAATTTGCTCTGGAAATCCATTATACACACTGGGGGGTTCCTTTTACAGTGAACCATATTTTGCTGTTGGGTAAAGGAAATGGGAGCAGTTCCATTCATCACATTTAAATAAGCTTTTATGAAAAGAAATGGAGCAGGGAAAATGTCCCTCTGTGTGACTGACAACTTTCAGAAAAGGGTATTCCCTCCATGAGTCACTGGTGAAGGGTGAGAGATCCTTCACGAAGGGTGCTTGGCCTCATTTCTGTCAGCTCATCAAAGAACCATCTATCTGTCCCTACCCCTCACACCCTCCTTTACTTCCTCACCCTCTCAGTCATGCATATAGATGGTGTTTAAATTTTAAGCAAGAGTCTCTGCCTTGCTTTAATGCTCTACTAAGCTTTCTTTCACAATATTTGACCTCAGCAAGCAAGAAAAAATGTCAAAATAGAAAACAATTTGAAAGCTTTTGATAACGACAGTGTAGAGAGGAGATTATTCTTGAAGCTCTAGAACTTATCTAAGGCTTGAAATATTTAACATAAAGGCAGTGTACTTTAATTTAAGATCCACAGTCAGCATCTATTAAGGAAACACAGAAGAGTCTCACCCTACATTTACGCTTAAGTTTCAGAATCTGATCTGCAAGCAGGGGCTTTATCACATCCTGTAAGATTATACATTTGTAAGTTACTGTAAAATAAAGACATCTCCTGGCAAAACTACTAATACAGTTTCAGGAATACATTGGAAGTGACTCATATCATCTGGGTTAAGGGCTTTTATTATTATAAGGCTTCTTCTTTGCAAATATATTTAATGTAAAGTATTAAATAGTCACTTTAAAAAAATAATTACCTTCAGATTCTGCATTCCTTGCGATGGATCTAATAGATTTCTTGTTCAAAACCAATAAAAACAGAGATTTCATAGTGTGAAGAATGCTTATTACTTAATTGATTCTGATTATCTGATGAGTATTCAGAATACTGGGACTATCAGAGATCTGACATATGGTCATGAGATATGATACTGTATAGATCCCATGACAACAGCTGAAGGACCAGAGAATCGAGAAATTTACTTTTTTGGCTCAGCTGCTCCTTCACTACGACACACAGGAGGGTTAGATACCTTGGTAATACTGATCATCAGCCCACAGGGAGCAACCTCACATTTTTGTTGGAGATCCTAGATTAGCCGGCTCTCACTATTGGTCCATCAGTCTTGCCTGGTATTTGGTTCAGGGCACCTTTATATGAGACAGAGAGGTTTACAAAAAACTCATTTTCAAAATCTCACCTCAAGACACTGCATTACAAAAAAGGTTTTAAGAAAAAGCAGGAGCCCTTGTGAAATCCATCCTGCACTGGAAGCAAGCTCAACTTTTTCCAAGAATGATGACACAGCTTTTCCTTTGTAATTACAAGGAACAATCGTCCCTGGCAAATTGTACTCATGTAGTAACCATCGGAAAGTACCTTGGGAAAGTACAGTTATTATTTTACCCAATATTCTTAAAGTCAAAATTTTAACCAAATAATCAAACTCATACGATCCTGTGTAACAGTTCCTTAAAGCTAAATTTGTAGTTCACTCTTTAGATTCCAAAATAAAATCTTTAATTATCTGAGATTCAAACACTGATTATAGCACAGACCAGTAGCAGCAAACCACGAAAGGGCCAGTAGCCCTCCAAAGCCAATGGTTTATTATTTTTATGGTAGTATTATAACAGTTTTTTTTTGCAGTTTATGTATGTAAAAGGTGTCTCCTAAGACTTTTAGTCTCAAGAGATTTTCCTCTATAAATAAATAAAAGCCCACCACAGGCTGTACGTTTACTACATAAAGAGATAAAAAAGAAAAAAACCTAGCTTGTTAACCTTTTGAACAAAAAAAATATTCTGTTTATCAGAAATGAAATTACAATTTCTTCCCCAAGATAAGAAGTACTGAAAACAAGAAAAATATTTTGAAACATATATTAGTTTACTTTTTCAGCACATTTGTCATTCATTGTATTGCAGGTAATTTAAAGAGTCAATAATGTGAAATATTTGACGTTATTAGTAACTTTACGCTCTGCTTAAATGCACAGTTAAACAAATTGCTTTTGCTGATACATTTCTATTTTAAATTAATAAAGTTTAATCCCATTAGAAAATGTATTTTCAGGACTATTAGAAGTACATATGGGTTTCAAGATATCCCTAAATATAATTCTTAAGGTGAATGGTTCCGGATTTACCTAAAAACTGTGGCATACCCATTGTCCTGTTTTACATCATTTAAACTTTAAAGCTGTAATTATATTTGTGGGGGAGATCAATTATTTTTTTGTTTATACCACCATAAACTGCCTAGGCAAAGAGTGGCCTAAGCTCTAAAAAAAATATTTTGGGAACAAAGCAGTTCTAGTTGTAAGCATTAGCCTGAGCTCAAGGAGAGCTTTAGTTGCTTTTGTACAATGAACAAATCCCCAAATTTCTGCCAAAAAAGAAGCATTTACTATATATATATATATATATATATATATATATATATACACACACACCACACTTAACATGATAAAAATGCAAAGGAAATTCCAAACTAAAACTCTATTCAATATTGTTGCTATAGTTGTGAAAGTCCTTAACTTATTTGTATACAGGAAGATAAAGCACAGAATAAAAATAAAGTTTAGATGTACAAAAAAACAAGTTTTAAACTAGTTCTAGTAAAATAAATGCATATAAAAAAGGTTAAAGATTAGAGGTGCATGTTAGACAATTGAAAGGACTAAAGAGGAAGGGTTAACATTTGTTTTAAATCCATGGGAGTGTGAATATGTTCTACATTAGGCTAAAATATTTAAAGAAAAACATATAATTCTAAATCTTAATATCTGTGTAGCTTTTAGTATTATTGCTGTCTTTGAAATGAGGTGCATTATCACTCCCTAACTACTAACATAACAGCCAACAAAGTATGCATTTCCAGCTAATAAATGGTTCTGGGAGGGAGAAAACCTTGTCTATCATTGATCAGGCTGGCTGTAGATGCAGACAGGAAGGAGGTTTATTAATATTAGTTCAGATATCAAGATAAAATCTGTTTGGATGAAAGTTTTCTTTGCTGCTTAATGGAATGCTGGCAGGAAGGGGGGTAAAAAAAACTTAAATGATAAGCCTGGTTGTGTTGCTCTTCCCTGACACAAAGATGCATTGATAAAGAAAGAAAACACACAGTGCACTTGGGGTCCACTCAGAATCGTCGCTGCATTCCTGAGGCGTTTCCTTGACTCCCCTCAATATACGACAGGTTAAGAGGTTTGTGGGAAAAGGGAGCATTTGTTTCCCATCCACAGCTAGCTAATGGGTTCGGTTTAAGTGGTTCGGATGGATCCATAACACCACAGGGCCCCCTTTTGGGAAGAGTTTGTTTATAAGTGACAGCCTTTTGGTATAACACTGTGATGGCACAAGTGATGAATTTTGTTCTCATGGCGTATTTCTCTTTCCTCTTTTGCAGTGGTGAGGGTGGATGGAAGCCCCCAGCCTGACTCACCTACGCCTGAAGTCTGAGGATGAGAAGGAAGAAAGGCTTAGACACAGAAGGAAGGGGGTGCCACAGAGAGAATGTAAAAACATATGTTGATTCATAATTCAAGTGGCTACAGGATAATGTACACAGACCTTCCGATATGCTTGGGACTACCTTCTGAGACTCTTCATCCCTGCATGTTGAGTCAAACTCTGTCTAAAAGCGTGCCTGGAAAAAATATCTCTGGCAATATCAACCGACCTAGTAAAATGACATGCATCGTAGTTAATAGGAGTTGCCAGTTCAACACACACTTACCTTTTACCTTCTCAATTTTACTTTATTTCCATTATCCGCTACCATGTAATTTTTCATGCTTTTGTTTGTTGTTCTAACTTCTTGTTTTATTCTGTAACACCCAAACCTCTCAGATATCCCCTTCTTTCTCCAAAGGAATCACTCTATTGGTATCAGTGATACAAAAAGCAGCAGGGGTGCCATGACTCATTTCTGCTTTTCCTGAAATCTTTTCCTCTTGTATCACTTAACAACCAGTTTTAATGAAATGTTTGTCATTGTTTGAGAATGGCTATCAGGACTCATCCAAGTGACTCATGTTTTGATGAGGCTTCACTTACTTAGCCTGCTCAGTAATTAACTTTTGTGAATAATTAGACAGCTCTTCCTATGTATCAAAGATATAAACTCCCTCTCTTGCAGTGCCTCCAGGGATTGTATTTCAGCAACTTCATGTTCATCATGTCTGTCTCATGTTTGTGTTAATGTTCCTTTTTTTGGCTTTAGTTACACGTCTGAATAAGCAGGCTGCCTTTACTTTGCTCTACAGAGTTGGGATGTGCAACATGAGAGTAACATCTCTGGACTGTGGAGCACTGCTGATTCATCCAGAGTTGTCTGACGGGGAATTAAAGGGAGGGGGGGGGGTCCTTTTTGCAGAGAAAAAAAAGGGTAGTGACTGCTGATTAAACTGTTCAAATGAGATTGGGACTGGAAAAAAGACACTGCAGGAGAAATCCTATCAACAATCAAGTCAAAAATTGGGACACCCCTCAGTGGAAGCCGGCACTTCCGCCTTCACATACTCACTCCTACAGGAAGGCATACAGCCTCTGCTGGGTTGCAAAGTATCGAAACAAAGCTAAACTGGGAGGCAGGTAGTAATTACCTCAGGGTTTTGCTTCAATTACCCTGCTTGCTCTGCCGTTCCTGCTGAAACTTCTGTGTGGCATCATCCTTTCTTCTACTAAGTCAGAACCCACTGATACCCGCATTTCTCAGTTTAATTTAAGCACTTAGTCCAGGCTTACTTTTAAGGTTAGCTGGAATCTTTTATTATGGATTGCCTTATCCATGTTCCCCCTCTTCCAGCTGTTTGCAGAAACTATAAAAGTAAGCTTAGACACCCTGTAAAAGACACATACTGTAGCTGAGCTTCACAGCATTCTTGCTTAAAGCAGCAAATAGATTCTCAGGATATAACTAGTTGTAGTAGAACTGAGATTAAGTGAACATTAAATAAACTATTGATTAGTACTTGGATTTTTTATTTGCAATGACTCTATTGATTTTATTAGTGAAAATTCTTTACATGCATTTTGGTAATAGCCTAAAGCAAAATGTTCTGCTGGCCCATATAGCAGGTTTTGACCCTAAAAGAGAAGAAAACATATTTTTAACACAAACTGCCCTCTTTTATTGTGTTGCTATGAAAATAACAAATGGTTAATATCTTACCTGAATCAGCTGGTGGCACTGAAGCCCCTGATAAAATTGACTTCTTGAACTTTAAAACCTGCTTAGACCTAAAGACTTCCTAGAAGTTAATGTAGACTTTATATTTTGAACTGTTTTGCATTAGATGCTTATTCATATAGACATAAACATTTATAGTTAAGATTTAGTTGGTTCACAATTCATTAACCGTATAGCTAATGGACTGCAAATGAATAAATTGTAATTAAATTACAACAAATTAAGTAGATGATGGCAAAAGAGAAAGAGAAATCTAGTTGAAAAATGTTATTAATTTATTAAGTATGTTTGGTGGTTTAGCTAGTCTAGCCTGCTCCAACTAGACTGGCAGGTCTATCTGGTATTAGATCATTTCAGGATTTTTTTTTAATCAAGGCACAGTTCATAGGCCCTCAATTCATAACAGATTGTCCCTTTAAAAGGTCAGCTTTTGTAAAAAAAAAAAAGAAAAAAAAAGAAAGTATTTGCCCCTTAAAATTTCGTTTGTTTTATTCTAATTGTTCATTCACTTCCAGCTCTGTGGAATCAAAAAACCGCTTAAATAAAATCCGGCAGAGAAATAAACAAAAATACCTTTTTATGTTGTTAAAGTTGCTTGATGTTTACTGGTTACTCAGAAACAAATGTTGAAAGATGAAATCTGTAAAGGGACGAATACTTATAAACTGCTCAAAAGTTTTAGCATGTTAGGCTCACAATAACATCCCATTACCCTACCTAAACACTCCAGCTGTAATGCATATTTATTTAAAGAACATAGAATGTCATTGTGTAGTAATATTATGCATACCTTGGCTTCCCTAAAAAATTGACCTTCTGTAGCGAGCTAAATCGAAAAAGTCGCAGTGATTTCCACCTTGTTTACTATGTAAGTAGGGGAATAGGTTAAAGCTAACCCATATGTATAATTTGAATGTGTGCCTGTCTATAAACCTAGTATTTTTGGGTAATAAAGATTTAAAAAAATGTTTTTATAAATTCAAAATATGTAAATTGCAGCGACTTGAATGAGTAGACTGGTCGTCTTGTTATATGTAATACGTTAGTTGTTTGATTGGCAGACTGAAGTAGAAGTAGGTAGACTGCTATTGTTCAAAAAATAAATACGTCAATATACCATAATGACAAATGTTAAACTGATTTATTATGTTTCTTATTCTTAGGATAGAATTTCAATGATTTGAAATTTTGGTTGGAGGCAGTTTCACATAATCCAAGAGGTATCTGTATTGTCATTTGAATCTAAGCAAGAGTAGGAACATAGACAAATGCAGAAACGAAAGTTTTTCCTTGTTAGCTGTGCTTGTAGAGTTGAGTGATAGGTAGGAAATGTCTTGGAGGGGGAAGAAAACAGTGAAAATGAGTCATTATATCCTGTGTGGCACTGCATGGATCAATCACATAGTCACAAACACCCAAAGACAATTAAACTTCCTAGTCTCCTCACTTTTGATTCATGAATCACTACAGCGTAATAAATGGAAGCCAACAAAAGTCGGCTGTAGTTTGCAGCTCTGTTGCAGATGTGGTTTTAGACACGTGACCATGCACGCAGAGTAAAGTGTATGATTCACTCCTCCATTTAGAGCCCGGCTGATTCATCCTGATCTTTGCTGTGGCACTGACATTAAAGGAGACTTTTCTGCACTTGGTAAGAGTGACCAGAGAGTTGATTTGAAGGAGAGAGAAAAAAATACATTTAACTCAACTTCCTCCGATACCCCCCTAAGGTTCAATCAGCCCTCCAGCAGAGCACTCCCCACCCCCCCAAAAGCTGACGTATTCCCTTTCTTAACAGCTTGTGAAGTAGGACACTTTGTAAGAATGTACAGCCTAGATATAAACAGAAAAAATATGCAAGATATGTTGAAAGGAATATCTTTTATCTTTGCTCTGTTTCTGTTGGTAAAAATTGCTTTTGTTATTACATTTATAGTTACATTACATTTTTACAATTAAGGGTACCATGATTTTGGACTGAGTTGTTTTCCTAAGTGACATTATTTTGTAGCTCTTAGATATATAATTGCACTCAAAGAGTGTACCACAGTTCAAGTGCCTGTGTACAGTGTCCAGTACTTTGAGTTTAAATGTTCTATCTTCATTTTTTTGATGCATTTTTCCCACTTATGTTTTTGTGTGCATTGTTTTATATTTTAGAACTAATGAAGGATTTTCATGAATTGAAGTTACAATTATGGAGCCTTGGAGACTCATGAAAACTGTAAAAAACTTGGCACCATTATAGAGACTTAAAATAGAAACAGGTGGCCAATAAACACTTGCTGTATGTTAATAACATATTAGGGTCATGTAGCATTTTGGAAACATAAACATGGCACCAGGAACTTTGTTTTTGAAATTCTCACAAGGTTATTTGCCATTAGAAGTTATAGCTACTGTACAGATTTAATGCATGTACAGTAGTTTTATCATGTACCTACATTAATGAGACACCCAGACATGTAATCTACGGCATAGTGATGTTTAGGGGGGGACTCACTGTGATTCTCTGTGATTATATTACTTGATACAGACACATCAGGAACTAGACCCCTTAAAGGCTGAATGTCATATGTAGTTACCTACTAATGTAAAATGCATTGTTTAAATGTGAATTTCTTAGACTTGATACAAGATACAACAAAAATGCTTTAAAAACTGGGAAATACATTACAGAAATGTGTGCAAATGAAGTGAACTGTAAAACCATAATAAAAAGATATTTAATTGCAACATCAGTATAATTTTACTTTCTTTCTTTGTTTTTCTTTGATCTGAAATAGTTATGTTGAGATCTATGCATTATTTTAATCTATTTCATTAAAAAACTTTTTTGGGACAATATTTTTGGAACTGAGCTCAGCCTTTCTGTGGATAACTGCTTTAGGAGACTTTCTCTGACCATCAGCAGGCTTTACTACCTCTGAAACTCTTTGTTTTTACAAGACAATATTTATTTATTTAAAAACATTTAAACTACATTGTAAGATTATATTCAAATGGACAAAGTTTAAGTTTAAAGAGACATTATGTAAGTTTTTACTGAAAAATATATTTGTTGCCTCTACACCCTTAGCCAAAGATGTCGGTTCAACTTTGCATGGTGATATCAACTATGCTAGATGGGCGTGGGTCATTTCTTTCCTTGGACCTCATAAATAATGCTAATAACATGTCAGGGCTCAACAGTAATTGGTTAGGAGAATAAATCACCTTTGATGTGTTGTAAATGCATATTTATGTTAAATATTTTTATGTTACATATTGTTTTATTGAATAATTTGAATGATGAATTCCAATCATCATATGATATATGTATATATATCAAATGTGTTACACTAAATTAGTCTTTATTTCAATTTATCAACTTTTCAGTTTATCTGATTGGTTTTGGATGCGTTTTGACTTTTACTTTATATATTTGGACAAGGATGTCAAATCACATCTTAAATGTTTTATTCAAATACATGTTTAAAAAAATGACTGAAATACCATGTTTGCCTCATTGCTATTTTATATCCATGCAGGCTGCCTGTGTGACCAGTAATATCAACAAACTCCTCCTGATTAAGTTATGTTCATTTCAATAGTGGCAACACTATTGCCAATCAGCTTTTCAAAGAGACAGTTTATAAATGGAACTTCTTACTTGCTCAGTGAGAGAATAGGGTCATCCATTGGATGGAATCAGGAATAAGGAAGAGTTCACTCACAATACATTATTTTCTACGTGTATCACTATTCTGTGTGCCAGCGTGTAGTTATTTTATAATCCTTCCTTCCTGAGATCAAATAGCAGAAATTAGACGACATTAAAGGAAGTTTTGGGTAAACTACATAGAGTTGTCTTACAGTCATTGTTACTGGGCTGCATTAAAAATAAATGTGAGTATACCCACTTCTCCAGGGACCACTACATTACTGGTTGTGTCCTTAGGTAAGACACTTCATCTGTCTTTCATACAGTTAGTGGATGTAGGTTCCAGTAGCACTTATTGTATCGCAGCACTCTGTCAATCTGTCACAGGGCACCTGCGGCTAGAATGTACTGTAGTTTACCTTCACCAGCATGTGAATTGGTGAATGACTGAATGCAGTGTAAAGTGTTTTGTACTATATCAGAAGCATTTAGAAAAAAAAAGAAATTTGATTTAAAAAAAA